GCAAGGAGTGACCAGGAACAATGGTCACAAGCTGGCGGAGGGAAGGTTTAAGTTGGACATCAGGAGGCGCTACTTCATAGTCAGGGTGGCTAGAGTCTGGAACCAGCTTCCAAGTGGGGTGGTGCAGGCTCCCACCCTGGGGGTTTTTAAGGGGAGGTTGGATGACCACCTTACTGGGGTCATTTGACCCCAGTGGTCTTCCTGCCATGGCAGGGGGTTGGACTAGATGATCTGCTCAGGTCCCTTCTGACCCTAGAAACTATGAAACTATGAAACTATATAGCTTCAACAGAGCTGCCAGGCACCAACTATTTTTGAAAGTCAAGACTTTCATTCAAGTGCCTGAGGAGGGTCCTGGAAGTCCTGGGTCGGGCTAGAAGATCTACTAGGTCCCTTCCAACCCTTAATCTATGAATCTATGAATCTAAGTTAAACTTGAGGAACTTATTTTTTAGAAATGCTGCCAGTGTCTTGACCACACACTTTTACCTGTGGTAAAACACTTTAAGAAGAAAATATTTCAAACTAAACAATGTTAAGTAAAAAAAAATACTAATCTCAGAAAAGAAATCTTCCCCTTGCTGTATTTTATTTACATTTAATTACAGAGCTTAAAAGAACACTGTAATTATTTAAAAACCGCAACACATTTGGAAGTTTAGAATTTCAAAATTAAAGTACCACAAACAATGCTGACAGTCTAATAAGCTCCAGTTCGCCTTAACAATTCCCCTCTACCTGGCCACCGTATCTCAAGCATACGGACCTTTCAACTAGCAGACTGTAAAAACAAAAGAAAATTAGAGAGAACAGAGCTACTGGGATTACTTTGGAAGGGGAGTTATTTGATCTGGCTTCTGGTGCTCAGTTTGAAAATCTCAGATCCAAAGGAGAGGTATGCTGTATCTACAATACAGATCTGGAAGCCGATTTTACATTACTGAGGAAGCTAACCTAGAGGCAACCCGAGTACCCTTAGGTTTCACCCTAACTCTTACTCTACCATGCACACACAAAAACCCTTTATACATCAAGTCAGGTTTAAAACCCACATGCCACACAGACTGCTCCACTTCCACACTGTGCTGGAACTATGCCTGGATAGCAGTATCTCCCAGGACACCCACACTTGGGCATCCTGCTAGCTGGCTAGACTCACACCAGCCATGTACCAGGAATCAGCACCCCACAAAAACATCCCCCAGAAGCTGGCAGACAGAGGATTAGCTGCATGGAAATATATTGGCAAGAAGGAATCAAAACTGAAAGGTTATAGACAACAAGCCACATACCTCCAACAGCAAGCCTGGAAACTCACTGCCCCCTGCCTCTGACCAGGTGCTTGGTGCTGCCCAAACTACCAAGCCGTGTCCAGCTGCTCTTGAGAGAAACGATATCGCTTGACTGCTGGCAGAGGAACTGGACAAGAGGTCTAATAAACTGAACCCCGGCTTCTTGCCACTAACTTTTTACTGGCAGTGGAAAAAAGACTTGCATGTTTTAACACCCTAGCTCACAGTGTTAAATGGAGCAGGTCTGGTCAAGCCAACAGTGTTTAAACTGTGTCTACCTTTTTCTTAAGTGGGAGTTTCAATTCAGTTAAGCAAGCTTTGTTAAGCATTGCTGAAATCACTGTTTCCCCTAGTCTAGTCAACGTCTGAATCTGTTACAGAGCTTTCCAACAAAAAGAGGAAAACTAAAAACCTAACATTCCCAGTATTTCTATGGTAAAGTAAGAAGCAAGAGAAAAAGGCCCTCACCTATCAATCTCTCAACAAAAATCAATAAATAAAAGACATAGAGCCAATTTTTATTCCCTTTACTAGTCAGCTGGAAATAAGCGTCTGGGCTTATGCACTCTTCTTTCAAATCATTCCAATGTTCTAACAATGCTCTTTTGAATGAATGGGTCCCAATTTTAAATCTTAACTACACCTTCAATTTCTTCATAAAACACGTGGAAAAGGGAGCAAATATATACCCATGAAAGACTCCACACCATTTTTCAGCAAGAGCGGGCCATGGATTCTTACCCCCTACATCCAAACCAATTTCCCATTTTGGTATGTTACGTTGCAATAGTGTAAACCTGCCCTTGCTGTTTTGACTGGGTTCTTAACCTCCTACATTGTCCTGAAATGCTGGGTAGTGCTGCTGTGTGTTGATACACAGCTGCTTAGGGGGCTTCGCACTAGTGCTGGGTAAAGCACTGAAGGAATCTTATGACTGAGAAGCAGGCTGGTCTAGTGCAGGGGGTCAGAAATGTTTTGCTGCCCCAGGCTAGAGCCTGCAATTCATCACCCTGCTGCGAGCTGGAATTCTCCAACCTCTAGAGCATCCAAACTGCCTGCACTTACCCTCACCCCCAATCCCCCTCCCCAGTGGCAATAGGGAGGGGAAAATTTTGTACCAAGGGTCAGCACAGGCATGGCACAGTAGCAGGGAGGCTGCAGGGGGCTAGTGCTGAAGAGGGGACAGGTGGAACATAAAAAGCTTGTGTGCCACTGATTCTCCATCCCTCCTGGGACCAGACTGGACCTTCATGAGGCAAATTTGGCCTATAGGCTATAGATTGCCAGGCCCTGGTCTAGTGGACTAGCAGAGAGTGAGGAATCAGGAACTCACAGCATCAGAGGGATGAATGTGAGGGTTCAGGACTGTCCCAACAAAATGAGTTTAAGTTTGTGGGGTCTGTTCAGTTCCTAATGGGACAGTGGACTAGGCCAAGCAAAACACTGTGGTTACTTACCATCACTCAGGAGAACACCACCAACATACACAATGCCCAGGATTCCCATCAGACCAATTTTAACAACTGTTGTAACAGGCTTAAAGACCTAGCAGAGGATGGGCAGGGTAAAGGAGAGGACAGGGAAGTAGAAGGAGCGACTCTCTCACCTTGGCAGGCTCGCTCATCGTCGGCAGGTTGGTAGCCAGCCTTGCAGGTGCACCTCCCGATGGCCACCATCCACTCACCCTCCCCATTGCAGTGCAGCTTGACACCCGAGGACCCAGCTGTGCTCGCCTCCTCTGCATCAGCCACACATGTCCCCGGCGCCTCCACCAGCGAGGTCCTCTCCCCGCCAGCAAAGGTTTCGGGGAAAGAAGCAAACCCCTTAACCACCGCCGGGCACTTGTAGAAGAAGACTTGGACAGCTACCAGTGACATGCAGGCCCCTGAGTCCTGGAACGCCAGGTAGAAGCCACGCTGTGCAAGTGGCCCAAAGCTGCGCACTTTGACATTCATCTTCACCACCTTTCCCGTGCTGTCCACCTGTGAGAAGCTCTCATCAGCTGCAATTGTGTCCACCTTGGTCCAGGGCCCTTCACGCCACTCGGGTAGTGCCTGGGTGGCTGTGTCAGCCTCTGCCTGGTGGTAGTACAGAGTGAATGTCTCCTTACAAGAGGAGGCCACAGTCCGCATACTGGCACAGTCCCGCACGGAAAAGCGAAGGCGGACATGGACCCGATGGGCTCCACGCCGCTCAATGAAGTGAGTGCGTAGCCAGTTATTCTGTCCAGGCTCAGCCACATTGCAGACCTCAAAGGTCCGGATCAGACGCTTCTTGTCATCCAGGACACTCACCTCATCCCACTGTAATGAAGAAGGTGGGCAGGAAAAGGAGAGGGATATCATTAGGGGGCAAAACTGGGACACTATGAACACTGGGGTCTGGGTCAAGAGGACTGGTCAAGTTGACACTACATCCACAGACTTTCCAGCTTGGGTAAGTGGGAACTGGTGGCATGCTGATATTTGTCCCTGCTGGAAAATGCCAGGGCTGCTCGGGAGCCATAACCCTCATATCTTAGCCTCTTCGCTGCCTGCAGAGTGGAAGGCTGCCAGCCTCACATTGGGACTGCGTGGTACAGGGAAGCACTTGAGGTGAGGGAGGGATCCCCTGGGGTGGAGGCATTAAACAACATTAATGTCAACTCAACCTGCAGCACAGCATTGCAGATCTCAATATAGCAACATCACCAGCTCCCCTCCATCTTCCTTATCTTTCTCTCCTAAGGTCCCTTCCAGTCCTACTTCTCTATGAGTCTAAGGTGTCTGACTTAAAATCCATGGGGTTAACTCTACCAAAGCTGAAGATCTCACAAGAGAAACTCCAGCATATTGGAAACGGTTACAGTGCCCTAGCCAATGTCCTCATCTCTCAGCAACATGGTTCTCAAGCACTGGCCTGGGGTGACCAGTGTCTGATCCAGCACAATGCAAAGTGCTTTGGACAGTCCACAGGCACTGAAGCTAGAACCAAACCTATTCTGTTTCAGCTCTGCTCTTCCCAAGGGCTGTGCAGATCTATCCATTGGAAGGGAAGGAGGGGAAGAAAGAAGAGCACTTACCCCATCAGCAGGGTGGGTGGTCCAGCCAATCTCCGAGGTCTCTCCTGTGGTATCTAGAAGGATTTCTGTTAAAACAAAAAAGGAAATATGCATTGTGCTTTTCCAGATACAAGCTGCATAAATCCATTCTGTCTCCTACAAGGCTCCTTTCTATACCTCTTCCCTTGCAGGGTGTGCATCGCCACTCTGGGCCAACATATACCTACTTGCTTTTGGAAGATCTGGGCTCCAGGAAGAGGCTCAAGGAGTGCCCAGGAACTGCTGGTCTGTTCTGAACTTTAAGCTAATCTCCTACTAGACCCTATGAAAAGAAGTTCCTGCAGTTTGTGCCTTCAAGATTCAGCCTAATCCAGAGTGCAAGGTACCAGACTGGTAAACTCTGCCAGCCTCTCCCCATGCAACTACTTTGGCCTTATGAAGTACTGATTCCCACAGGAGTGGCATGCACCTCCGCAGACCATTTTCTACCCAAGGAAACACTCTGTCCTGCTGCTGGCCCTTGGTGGAAAGGTATACTCAACAGCCCTAGAGACTGAAATCTGCTGTCCAGGTTCCAACCAACATAATACTGGCAGCAGGAAGGCAAGCTCTGTCCACAATAGCCTTCCAAGGGCCCATGTCCTTGAGACCACCACAAAGTGCACTGGGCGAAGAGGGTGTGGCATCCACACACAACAATATATTTGCAAACTGGAAACATTTTGCAGTCCTGGAAAGTGAAACGCTAATTTTTAGCTGTTTTTATTTTTTTCTCTCTCAACTTTTCTCTACAGACTAGGAAATTCCACTTACAAGAAAGGCCAAATGCTGTGTAGAGACCACTAAGAGCACAGTTGTTCCAAGTGTTTAGACAGAGGTAGGTATAAGGCTGACCCTACATTAGTCTCTGAGTTGAGGAGATCCACATGGCACAAAGGGAACAGGGGAATCAGAACCATGCCTCTCCTCTGGCCTGACCTTTAAGGTCAGCCTGCAGAAGAGCCTGGGCTCACTTTGCAAGACAGATGGCCAAATCAAGGCTCGCCCTGAAAGGATTACACTCACCTGAGATCCAATGCTGCCCAAGCCACCCATGCCTCAGAACACTGCCCTGGCTCCCATTGGTGCCTGAATGGCACAGCCCTCTCTTGGGAGTGATACTCTGATATTTCAGCTCTGTGTTGTTCCTGGGACATGGCTTCATTTTGATCGGAAAAGAGGGAAGCTTTATTTTTCGGGGAACAAAGGAGGTTTTCTAAATCAAGTGCAAGTCATTCCCCATGCTCAAGTAACCAAAGACAGCTCCATAAAAATTTAAGAGAGGGATGGAGAGAGACAGAGAGAGAAGAGAAGGCTTGGTGATGGCAGGGAGAGGAAGAGAGAAAACAGAAAAGTCTTGTTCAGAAGCTGGGCTTCGCACTGCTGGCAGGCAGTATATTCCCTTGATGGCTTCTTGCCCGTGACCCAGGTAATCTTTATTGAGCGCACAAATAATTCACAGGCTAACAGATACAGGCTGCCCAGAGCTAACAGAAGTCTCTCGCGGTGGTGAATATTTAACAAGCTGGGAAGTGCGTTACCTGCATGTGAGCAGAATCCCATTGCTCTGACAAGAAGGCACTCGGGCAACATGCCAAATGCCCTGCAGTCCCACACTGCTACCCTCCTTCTGCCCCATGCTCAGTACCTGAAAGACCATGTGTCAAAGCAGTGACCACAGTCAGTCCTGCAACCTTGCCCGACAAAGCCACATCACCAGCCTACCTCTAGCAGTATCCTACCTCTCTCCCCTCCAGAGCATGCCATCAATCCATCAAATCCAGTATTCAAGGGTGGCAAGGAAGTTGATTACACCAGTGACTGCTGCTACCAGGAATCCAACCTTTAGCCCTATGAGTGTAAACCATGGGCTTCCCTTGTGCCATGGCAGCACTCACGCAGAATCCAGTACCCTGCCTTCTAGCAGAAGACAACATGGAGTGCTCTCAAGGGAGATAGGAGCCTCATACCGCATCTTGTCAACAAGCAGTATTTTGTACTGGGTTCAAATCTTGGCTCAAAACAGGAAGATCTTGGTGAAACTTTATGCCTTACAGCATACAGGAGGTCAGACAAAATGTGCCCAGAGCCCCTTGTGGCCTTAAACTTAAGGAAGCAAGGAAGGCCCTTCCCTGACCCATGCAACAGTCTTAAATTTGGAAATATGAGGTTTGCTTTTCTAGTTATCCCTACTGTTATTTTGACTTGTATAGGCAAAAAAAGTCCACTGTTTTAAAAAAATGGCCAGTCCCTCTCTTCCCTGGTCCACATTTTCCTATAGCAGTGAGTTCCACCAGCAAATGAGACTCTCCATTTCTGTTACTGTTTCTAAACTGATTCCTCTTTCATTTCCTAGAGTGACTCCTTTCCTTCCTGATACAGGGCCGACTAAGGAGGGACTACTCAATTTCCACTGTATCCTTCTTAATTCTGATTATATATTCGCTCAACAGAGGGTCTGCTACCACAAAGAAGATTGTTAGGGGGTCACTTACAAACTCACGAAAGGATTCTTGCCCAGAATTTCCTTACCTTTTCTTAAAAAGCTGTTGGCAACAGCTCAGGTGACAGCTGTCCCAGGAAAGTTTCCAAGCTACACAGTAAGCTGAGCTGTTTGTCTGACCCCTCCCAGTTCCGAGTAGGGTTCCCATGCATACTTCTTATGAGGTTCCTTTCTCCCTATCAGGAGGGCACATGCATGGCTATAATCCAGGGGTGAGAAATTATTTGGGCTGGAATAGTCACTTAAGCAATTTCAGTGAGCTATTACAGGCTGGTGGGTGGCAGGGAGGAGAGGAGCATACCGTGGGAATTCTCCTTCAGAGGAATTCCTGATGTGTACTGGATATAGTCCCTGAAGCCCCCTGAAGCACCTGCCTGGGGTGACTGGAGAGCATGGGCAGCAACTGCCTTTGCTTTCCTGCTTTAAAACAAAGAGATGTCCACTACAAAGTAGTGGCACAAATTTAAACTATCTTTTAGCATGGTCACATATTTGGGCATGGAGGTCAACACACAGCATGGAGGTCTGTTCACTTTCCCTTCATGATAAAAATCTTTATGGTAGCACAAAGGCAATGTCTGTTGGCAACCTAAAATTGATCTTGCAGATTTAATTGGGAAGGATCAACCTGCTGCCAGATGTGCCTTCCTGCCTTATTTCCTCAAGATACCTCACATGGCTTTTGCCAACCCAGACACTACCTACAGCAGTTGCTTCCTCTAACTCCATCCTATAGTGTTGTCCTCAGAGCTTTACCCCATTTCTCTCTCCCTTCTCCCAAACAACACGGCCATCTTGATACTGTTTATATAAATCCCTTCACAAAGATCTAGATCAGTCAATAATCCCACTCCCAAAACTATACAGAAGGCACCAGTCCTTGCCAAAACCAGCAGAAGAAAACAAATGCAGAGTTTCTAGACCAAGTCATTTCCAAGTCAGGAAAAAAAAAATGTGACAAGCAAAAATAAAATGTGAAGGACTATGCCTATATACACACAGAGATCCAAATCAGACTATATCAATGCTGAGCATGTGCCATCTCAAACCTCCTCGTGCTATGCATTGCAACATAATCTCATGAGCACATCGTAGTTCCAAAATAATCACCATAAGAGCACACAGTTTTTTCAACAATCTTAAATACCCCTCTTTTGCATATCTTATTAGCATTTTCAGTCTTCAATCCTACCATTAATTTTATTCTCTTATTCAGAAACTTTCTAAATCCTGAAAGCTACTGTGTAGTTCAAACTTCTATTGCCTCCAGGATACCCATCACCTTAGGATTCAGCCCTTACACCCTCTACTTGTTGATCTCTCCTGTCTTCACGAAAGGAATGTTAATCATTTTCTCAGCATGAATACACTAGATATTTTACACGCAGATGCACCTCTGAGAAGTAAGTTATTACTGTGGTCTCTTACAAGCTGTTTTTTCAGAGAAATACATTTTTAGACCAACATTAACACGGTGCACTTTTATGAGTTTTTGTTTACTATGTATCTTATACAGAAGACATGGGCATTTATCATTTCATGTGACCTATACTCAAGCTGTCTTCAGATGGTGTAAATATTACTTTCTTTAAGAATTAACTATGCCTTTCTAAAAGTCTTAATTTAGGTGGAAATAAGAAAATATATGCCAAAAATAGGCAGCACAGCTTTAATTTCTTTAGAATTACTTCCAATGCTGCAAAAGTATGGTACAGTGAAACAGTAATTTAATTGAATACTTATAGCTGCTATTTTTTTAAGTAAACAAGCAAACAAAAATGATTGAGCATAGTTCATAAAAGCACTCACCAATAATTATTTAAATAGAAAATTCAGTATGACATACAGCAATAGTGTTTACTTTTAACCAAAGTGCCATTTTATACAGTGTAGTTGCAGTGTAACCAAAATAAAATGAAAGTCAAAGCTATATATATGCCTTGGAAAGACTTCATGATGCAAGAGAGATTGACCTCAATGAGACAAGTGAAGCTGGACTTCTCGTCAAATGTGCCCTTCTTAAAATACTATTATTTTTCTTTAATGAGCGAAAATGTCTGTACCACTACTGCACTGGCAACATCAGTGATATGAGAACTACTCAGACAAATCTAATGTACAAGTTAGTTCCAAGTAGGTTAGTGATGATTAGCTGCATGTTGTGCTAGTGTTAAATTCTAAGCTATATCAAAAGATCAGAGAAGTTGCCACAGTTAAGGAGTATTTTTCCTCACACAAAGGAGGCCTCATTCAAGGGTTACGTTGGCTTCTGTCAAGGATATCCATGATAGTCAACAGTTCCAGACTATCGAATCTGCACAAGCTATTTGCAAGCCAGTAGGGTTCTGAAGTCTTAAAAAGGTAAGGAGGCCTTCTTAACCTTACCCCCCACCCCTTTTCACTTAAAAAAAACCTGGGAAATGGGGGGACATAAATGCTCAAAATACACCCGTATGCTAATGTCAGGCTGTGCATAATTAAGTAATCAAGAGTCAGGAAATGCCAAAGGTAACGTTAAATGACCTGTAAGTTATAATACCACCA